GGGGAGGGGGCGGGGCAGGGGCGACACCGCCTCCTGTGGGGACTGCGGGGCCGCCGCAGGCAGGGGGGGAGGCTGCTCCCTCTTTTCTTGCCTGGCTTTTCTGCCTTTCCGTCCCTGGCGCGGCCGGGACGCAGGAAGGCAGCGCGGTGGCTGAGGCGAGTAGGAGTTCCCGTGAGAAGCGGTGTGGCTGTGGGTGGGGAGCGCGGGCGGTGCGGCGGGAACCGGCCCCGCATCGGAGCGCGCGTTGGGCAGAGCCCCGCGGCGCGCTCCCCCGCCTGTTCCTCGTGCTGCTGCTGCGGCGGGCATGGCCCATGTGCGCTGTCAGCGCTTTGTCTCTGGGTCGTTCTGCTCTCGGACGGGGTTTCGCTGAAGCAGCGGCTGTGCTGGACGCGGGCTGTGTGGGGTTGTAGCGTGCGGTGCTGTCAGTGTCAGGTGATGCGTTTTGGTACAGGTGAGCACGGGGTGAAAGGTGGTGTGTGCTTAAACGGGGAGGGAGAGGGAAGTGGTAGAGTATCTCTTGGAGCTTTGCGTTTGGAACACCCTGTTAACATCGCAAGAACTGATGATAAATTCAGTATAAAATAAGCTGGAGCAAAGGAGACTGCTGTGTGTAATCAAAATAGGGTAAAAAAAAAAATATCACCAGCAGCCCCAAAACTACACGTCGGGAGCAGAGATGAGAGAGCTGTAAAGATTGCATGTCCCGTGTAGCATTTATTTTTGTTTTCGTGGTGTTTTCCAGAACTTGGGAAGTTTATAGAATATTGGTTAGCTTTGAAAATGCTGGAGGTTTTGTACTTCTATTGTTTCTCTGTAGTTAGTCAAAAGCAGGAAGCTTTGGGGATATCAGTATCACAACCACAAGGAAATAAGTAGTTTTCTTTCTCATACAAACTACTTCTAATGCTGGCATACCCTTCACAGCTGTTCGTAGCAGTGTTTCTGTATTGTTCTATTGGTCTTTTTAAGGGCTGTTTCCCTCTATCTGTTTAGCCTGTATATTTCTATCTTTTCTGCATCCCTTCTGTATCATCTTAGTGCTCTAATTAACAAGGCAAGCTTGTTTTTTTTTTTACTTGGAGTACCGTAATTCTTATTGAATTCATCTTTGTCGAGGTGAACAAGCAGTACCAAAACATTTCTTGCTATGTAAACCTTTTTTTTTTTTTTTGTGGTATGTGGTGATGTAGTATGCCTCTTATAGGTCAATATGTGAGAAATTCGAATTTTTACACTGATTGGCTTGTCTTGGTTGTCTGATTCTTTCTATGGAAGAAAGTTCGAACCTTCTGGCAGTTGTGATTAGAACAGATTGGGCCTCCAGAGGCTCAGCCAAATGAGCTTGGGTACAGATTTTTTTTTTAAAACCTCTCATCTCTACAAAGTTGCATTAAAATTCTTTGTGAGAATGTGGAGAAGCTGTTTTGACATCTGTGAGTGGGATCTTTAAAATTTTGGAAGCCAGCCTTCCTGAAACATTCAAACTTGTTTCAAATATAAATTACTTTATGTGATGTATTTGATAGAGTTTGATTTAGAAAGGAACTTGGAGGTTAATGAATGTGAAGGTTTACCTATTCTGTGGCTGTGCAGGAGACACTTAAACACATGCCAGATGTCAGTTTGTGTAGTTTGCTAGTTTAAAATAACACTGCCTTTCTGTCTGGAAGGTAGGAGAATGATATTTACCAGACGGGTTTTTCTAGACTTCTAAGGCTGTTTTAACGCTTCTGCTAAGGGAATGTTTTATTTTGCAATTTAAAACTGAGAGTTGAAATATGCCTGTGACACTGCAATATATGTAAATAAAACTCAGAGTTTTACGGTGCTGAAAAGTCACTCTTCTTCTGCTAGTGAACTGTTACAGAAAAATAAGTTCTGCCAGCAAAGAACTTGGTCAGGAAAAGACCCACTTTGTTATTAAGTTATTTATTAAGTTATTTTACTTTAGGTTTGATGATTCAAAATTGCTGAAAATACTTTGCCTAACTAACTATGTAATTGCTGTGGGAGGAAGCAGACATGGGGAAATCAGCCAAGTAATTATTCTTTGAAAACTGGAACAGTTGTGCTTTAAGACTAGAAATCTTTTTCTTTAGCAACTTAGAAGGCATGTATTTCCTTGCTGCAAAGCTGGCCTCTTAACAGACTCCTGACTTACATGGCATGGCAAAACTCTTCTCAGTTTCCTGTCCCCTAAGATATTGTAATACAGAGGATAAGACTGAATATTACTTTTGTTACAAACATTACTTTGGTACACACATCCATTATTCTTGGAAAATAATAAGGGTCCCCAGAAAAATATTTAGGCAGCTGAGGCTTGTTAGCTAGCCTAGATATACAGAATTTTGAGAAATGTTAGGTATTCCTGAGCAGAGTAGAAAATGCCAGTAAGGCAGGTATTTCTAGATTCCTGATGTTTGAGAGTGGGTGTGTGGAAGTGTCTCATTGGAAAGATTTGGCAGACTAAGGACCTGTCTTCTGCCTGGAATACAGATCAGCAAGCCCTTTCCTGTAAAAAGCAATCCAGAGGCCACCTTAAGAAAAAAAATCCCAAAACAAAACAAAACAACCTACATCAAACCAAAGGAAAAAAAAAAAACTGACAAAAACCCACTTAGTGGTGGATGAAGAATGTGAAGTTGGATTATGGTAACTTAGTGATTAGAACAATTGAATGGAACAGGACATATACTACCTTCTGTATCAGAGGTTTCAGCTCCCTATTTTCTATTAGTTGGAAGTGTGTACTAACCACCAAGCTGAAAAACATTGGGTAAAAGCATCTGCAAGTTTACATTACTGCTGAAGATGGAGTGCGGGTAGCTGTGCTGTAGTTTTTTTTTCCCCAGAAAACACATTCACTGGCCACCAGGTACTTATTAAGCAGAATCATGGAGGAGATCCTCCTGGGATACTTGGAAAATAAGAAGATGATGGATGACAGGCAGTGTGACTTCACTATGGCAAATTTGACAAATTTAGTGGCCTTCTATGACCACCTTAATTAAAGTTCTTGTAGTCAATCTCCCTTAAGTAACTAAAGGGAGATTGACTACAAGAAAGCTGGAGAGGGACTATTTACAAAGGCATGATAGGACCAGGGTGAATGACTTGTAAGATTAGGAAGGAGAGATTTAAATTAAATATTATGCAGAAGTTCTTTACTAAGAGGGTGTGGAGGCACTGGCACAGGTTATCCAGAGAAGTGGATGCCCCATCCCTGGATATCTTCAAGGCCAGGGTGGATCAAGCTTGGAGCAATTTGGTCTAGTGGAACATTCCCTGCCCATGGCAGGGGTTTGTAACCAGGTCATCTTTTGGGTGCCTCTGAACCAAAACCATTCTGTTATGCTTTACTATACAATGACACATTTTTTACATAGCTTTTCTAATATATTATTTTATTTGTCCATAAAGAACTGCTTGAGCACTGACTATGATCCCCTAAGTAAAAGAGGGCTCCGTCCTCTTTGGATGGAACAGCATTTCTTTGAGGCTGGGACTGGGGGTCTGTCTGACCCCCAGCTCTGCCATCAGCTATCCCAGATAGGGGTCCTGGAAGGAGCAGCCATCCAGGGAGTCTGAGGCAGTTTCCAGCCAGAGGTAACCATTAGGAGCGTGGCCTGAAGCTTCACGTGATCAGCTCTTTTAGAAGTGATTTCTGCTCTTGTGATCAGCTCAGCTCAGCTCACCTCTGCTCATGGGTTACCCCAGCTGATGCACAGACAAGAGACAGGAGACAGTGTAGCGTTCTGTGGAGTCCTTTATTGGCAGGCTTCAGCGAAAGGAGCCAGTGACAATCTTCCCCTGAACTGGGCAAAAGCTGGGGTTTTTATAGGGAAGGGGAGAATTGGGAAAGGGACCAATGGTCTGAGACTGGGATAAGATGACCAATAGTTAACAGGGAGATAACATGGGGTCCCGAAGCAGGAAGGGGTCCACAGTTTAGTCACCATGACTAAGTAGTTTTGTCTTACCTTGGGGGACAGATTTCCAGAGAGGAGGCCTATCAGAGGACTGGGCTTCCTCTACACACTTCTGTCCATGTGTCTGCTCCATGTGCCACAGCTCCTGCAAGTGCACATAGACTCTCTGTGGGTTACATCTTCCTTCAGGGTACATCCACCTCCTCCAAGGTTCCCTGTGGTTCCCTATGGTCTGCTGGTGGATCTCAGGTCCACTGTGGACTTCTGTGGGCCTACAGGAGCACAGCCTGCTTTACAGTGGGCTGTTGGGGAATCTATTAGTGCCTGGAGCACCTCCTGCATGTCCTTTCTGAATGATTTTGAGGTCTGCAGAGTTGTTTCTCTCAGTTACTTTCACCCTTCTCAGCTGCTGTGCAGTAATTTTTACCCTTTCCTAAATACCTATAGCAGAGGCATCAGCAGCATGGCTGAGGGGCTCAGCTTTGGGCAGTAGCAGGTCCATCTTGGAGCTGACTGGAACTGGTCCTGTCTGACACGTGGACAGCTTCTGGTGTCTCTTAGAGAAGCCACCTCTGCAGCCCACTCACTGCCAGAACCTGACTGGGTAAACCCAGTGCAGGCACTTACCTGGCAAGGAAGACTCCTTTTAGTCTTAAGAAGGTTTTTTCAGGTTTCAGTACAGTGAAACTGGAAGGTGCATAGTCTCTTTTGGAATGGGAACTGCTGCAATTTTTCTGGTGGAGTAATGCTGCTATTAGCCTAATTGCTAAATAGCGATGCTTCTGGAACATTGTAAAAAATATCTGCAGTGTTCCTACAGACAGAAAGGCATGACAGCATGTGCATAGTTGTCATTTGCATAGATTATGTCTTTTCATGTGGCAGTCTGAGAGCTGTGCTTGGCTTGTAGGCAGTATCAGTGTCTGGCTAAAAGCAACAAATAAAGGCTAATTTTCATCTTTTCTGGGAGTTTCTTGTCATGATTAGGGAATATGTTAGCATATTATGAAATCTAGAGCTCAGTGTTTTAAGCTCAGTATTTGGTGCAATATTGGAGCAGATGACTTAGTTCTTGTAAAGCTGTGTGATGTAGTCTCTTTAATAATAATCTTTTTTCTTTGCTACCCTCTTTTAGCCTATTTCTTGTCTGTTATTTTGCACATCAGTGGAGTTTCTTGCTTACTGTTACTGAGCAGAGCTGAATTACTGAAGGTGATGATAAACTTCATAAGGTTGTTGAAGTTTGTTTTTGATGAAGAGAGCTGAAGGTTTTTCTCAGCTTCATGTACTATACTTGGACATTATAAATTCCAGTACTTACCTGAAACCCTTATATCCCCTTGAATATTCTGTGATTATTGTTTGATTTATTTCTTTGTGTTGATTTGTTTCTTTTCATTGTTGGAGTTTGGTTGGTTTGTTTAGGTTGTTCGGGTTTGAGGTTTTGTTATTGTGTAAAAGTATAATCAGGAAGCAACTATAATGTACTTTGTGATTAAGAGATATTGGGATAGAGCTG